GGGTGGCTCAATTATTTTTTTACATATTTTTTTGTAAATTATTTTAGTTGTTAAGGATTTAATATTAATGTACTCTCCTTCCCAAAAAATACTATTATATACAGATTCAAACCAGGTATGTCTTGATTTAAAAATAATTTGCTTCCAATCTTTAGGTATAGCTGCTGTAAGACCTTTTATTTGAATGAATTCAATCTGTGTAATACCCTTCGTATTCCAATACTGCCAATTATGAAAACTCCCATTCTGATCAATTAAGTCAATAATGTGACCAATGCCTCGATTTGCCAGAGATTTTAAATAAACTGGTTTGTTTGCAATTATTATAAAGCAGTTGTTCCACAATGCTTGATTGTCAATTCCATACACAGAATTGGGGAATGGTGCATTAAATCGGACTACTCTCTAATAATGTCAACATAAAATGGTGGTAAATTATCTACCAAACTTTCTACATCAAAATTACAAGATTATACATGTCTACTCCCTTTAATATTTAATAGTGGTTCTGTAATGTTTCTCCAACCAGCTGGTTTTGACGAAAACAGTCTTAAAACCCATTTCATTTTTTGTGCTATTAGAAAAGATTCAATTTCTACCATGTTCAGGCCTCCATCCTCTATACCCGCAATTAAAGAGGTTTTTTAACCCGATCACAACCTTTCCAAATGAAATTAAATGAATTTTTTTAATTGCCTTTATAATTGCTTTAGGGGTTGAGATCATTGTCGAAACATACACAAATTTTGGGATACCAAGTATTTTTAAAATCTGAATTTTGCCAATAACTGATAAACCCCTCAGAGACCACAAGCCACATAACTGTTTTAATTTTGTCAATATTAAATTGAAATTGAAATTCACAGAAATGAATAGCTTCTCATTATAAGTTACAAAAATACCCACAATCCTTAACCCATCTAACATTTTAATATTCTCTTTATCTTTCGGTTTGTGGACAATATACAATTAAGCATGTGTGTTCAACTTATAAAGAACTGATGCCAACAAACAACTGTATGTGTAACTCGGGTCCTCTCATTTTCATGTCTTTGATTTTTAATAAATAATCAGAATAAAATTGTAGATTCGATGGTAATTATAAACCATCCCTCCCTATGGAGAATGTCAATTGACAGTCTTGTGATCAATCACGTGACATCATTGTATTCTGCAATCGTTCAATTAATGGTCTATTGTTATTTTGTGCTGGAATCAAATAAATATAGACAGCTTGATGACAGATTCATTTACACAATGTAGTTCAAATGTAGCTGATAGAAAACATTACACTGGAAAGGAAACCAATGATACCGTAAACAAACGTGATTAAGTGTGCCAATCCAAGTGTCGTCATACTATTACAAACTATTTGGGTTTTTATATACAAAATAACGAGTTAATTAAAAAAAAAAACATTTCTTAATTTTTAACTATAATTTTAATGATAGGGATGAATTTTGTAATTTTGTCAATCTTATCCCGGCCACTGGACATTTGACTGAATTTTTAGTGTGTGATTTCGTATATTTGCTTTAAAGTCGCGCGGGTGGGGGCTAATAATAAATCATACTGTGTTAATAACAAATAGTATTTGGCAACATGAGAATGATTCTGATGCCCAGTGGTGATGTTGAAACACGCCCAGGTCCTGGTAATATACTAAGACCTGAATTAACAAAGATGTCGTATTGTTATTAGCAAGTAAACATGTATGAGACAGTTTGATTGCACTTGTGTACTCTGAGATTTTGGACATGGGTCAATGGAAGTTTTCAGTTATCAGTACAATACTAGGTTACGGGAAATCAATTTATAATGAGTTGCACCCACATAGAGTACATATTCATTCAATTGTTTGCAGATGCTCTATGTACTACATTAACACGAGTATTTTATAATCAAATAACGGGAACAGTGGCATTCATGTCTCGTTTCCTTCATTCCTTATGTGTGTAGGTACGAAGCTTCGGTTAAGTCTAATTGTATTTTTTTAATCGACATATACGCGTGCCAATGTTTAAACACTGTCAGGTAATTCTGTAAAATGTTGAAGAGCGAAGTTCTATGAAATTGTTATATGACATCACCGCAAGTTATGGGTGGCCCTCTCACATTTATACTATTCATAAAACAGCGACCCCAAACGACAAAATAGCTTTTACTTTCGTTTTCCCTACAGAGGGCGTGACTGCTGAAAAAGCACCTTGACGTTATGAGTAGTTCGTATGTAGTTGTCGGGCGACCCTTAACCCATTGTTCTTTTTTTAAACTTGTATTAATGTAAAACTATAATGGCAGCAACCATTTTATTGGTACCTGAATAAATGCAAGAGTTCACGAACAATTCGTTATTCCACCAAATGACTATACAACACTTAGTAATCTCATGATTGTTTTAAGACGCTTGATATACTAAGACAATGAATGTCAACAAATGTGTCATTGCTTCTTTCTCTACTTCTCAACTCATCAATTTGTTGCGATATATATAGGTATTCACACTCTTCTGTACTTCTGTTATTTTAATCAATCTTAAGAAGTCTAGTATACCACATACTGGGTTTATCACTATTCAATCATGATGTTCATTTAGAATTTATTTTTGTTAAAGGAATCTAATCTGTTGATACATTATAATAACTTGGGCCAAAAGATGAATAAACCTTTTATCCACTCAGAATTTACTGAGTACCCTGCTCTGTTGGTAGAGGATGCTGTTTCCAGTCATGGTTATATTGAAAATGTGTAACAGAAAATAAAGTTCAACAGTGTTAAAGCGAAACAATTAAAGCACTGTGCATTTTGAAATTTAATGTAAAAAAGTATTGTACATAATTATACAATTTAGATTGGGACCATGTCAAACGTACCTGACATGCGACTACAGTGTTAGAACCTGGAGTGTGATCAATCAAATGTAAATAAAAAAACAGATGACTCAAGTTTTTGGTGTAGATTTTCATGAATGAATTCTAAAATATACGTTCCTAGCGGTTTATCTAAATTATTCTTCAATTATGTCACTTACTCTACAGAGCCAAAAAGACAAACAAAATTCAAATGGGGTTGTTGACTTATACACTTATACTATTCGTCATAAATGGCGCCCTCGATTGAGTCCCCGCAGAGCACAGGGGTTCGTCGACTGACCGCGAAAGCCCCTAGGCGAGAACGAAGTCCCCTTTATTTGTTACCATTGCTCCATTGTATACACTAGACTACTGAAGTTTTTACATGATAACATATACGTGTAGGACACTTGTTTCGCTGATTACAGATTTCCGATTATCTGTAATTAGCGAAACGAACCATTTACTGATTAAATATTGTTATTTCCGGCAAATGTTTTATGTCGTTATAATATACGACTGAAAGGTGAATATACTGATTAAGTTTCGTCCAACAGTTGTGAATATTGAACGTGAAAAATAATTATCTTTATTGCGTTCGTATCCTTATTTGGATTTTGAATAAAATGCAATACATGATGTGAAGAACGACAAACAAACAATTAAAGTGGGAATAAAAATAACTCACAGGGAAATAAAAAAAAATCTGACAAGCAAATAAAAGTAGAAAAAAATAATGGTGAAGTAAATTGGATTACGTGTAAGACGCTTGTTTCGCTGATTACAGATTTCCGATTATCTGCGATTAGCGAAACGAACGATTTACGTATTAAATATTGTTAATTTCGGCAAATATTGTGCAAATATTGTGCGTACAAAATCCATTTTTCACTGATTACAGTTTAATTTTCATTATGTGTGTTATTCCGTTTCGTTTTGTTTCGTTTCGTTTCTTCGATTACAATAAGCCCCGGAAACAGAACAGCTATTTGAGGAAGGTATGACGATTTTACCCATAATTCATAGCATATTCAGCATCTTATCAACTTGAACGTAAAGTGTATTTTACACCTTCAAGTGTGGGAGTAGCTGGTACAGGTTACAGGGAAAAAAACATTACGTTTTTACAGGAAATGAAATGAAAATTTTATTTACAGTGACAAATAAGTTCTTACACTTAACAGATAAAGCAAATTCCTTATTACATTTTTATAATATTTTTGATAATTTGAGTTTAAGAATCAATATTGGAAATTGCGTACGAATTACGACATTTAATTGGGACGAATAAAATAGCTGATTACATTTTACACCTTGTCCATGTCTACGAATTTACGTTTTTTTATTTATTTAAATTACATTATTACGAAAATAAAAACAATTGATTACTGCTTGCCGACCATCTTTAAACAATAGCGTTATTCGGATCAGATTTTACCCGTACTTAGCATTCCTTAGCCCGTGCTAAGCGTTCGCGCACGTTTTCTTAGCACGGGCTAAGCAATTTGACCTCTTAGCCCGTGCTAAGGAGCTGTGCGTGAACGCAACTATTGTTTTAAGTAACCTTGAACTAAACAAAATACGCCTATTGATATTCTGTGCGGGCAGGCAGCCACTTCGTTGTTCTGATCAAACAAACTACCGGACAACTCCGGGGAAAACTAAACATAACGTTGCGGTACACAGGCTTAGATGGTGTTTTGAATATGGGTCAATTTATTCTACAGTTGCGTCTGGTCTTGTGGAAGAATTATACTCAGAAGAAACGAAGCCCGGTGAGTACCATTGGATACACTAAAGTGTTGCGGCAAATATGAATTAGTCGACTCGGGGCTTTCGCCGGGTGAACGTTCACTTGTTTGAGTAATGTTATTCGTTAAATGGTTGTATTTACTAGTGAGCCAAACTTAAAGCGCAGCTTGAAGAAAAACTGAATGAAATCGGTTGGTGTTCGCGGAAAGGCAGGTCGTCAGATTTCTCGCCGAACGCGTAGTCAAGTGAAAACAAAAATGTTTTTCGTCCACGGCGATAAAAGGGCTGTGATCGTCGCGCTGCGCATGTGCGACATTTGTGTTGCTCTTCTAATGGAAAACACAAGTATGAGGTTTGACCTGTGCGCAACTTGCACTAATTACCGCCGGTGACTATACCTTCCAATCACCTAAGAAAATACCCAATTACGGCTTTGTAACGTCTCAATTTGTACATGTTAAGCTGCGCACCTGTCAAAGTCGCCATCTTTGTTTATATGAGACCCATATATGTACCGCTCTTTAAAGGGCGATGTATACAACAATACATTGTTTATTTACATGAAATTCGAACACGCTGTAACGGGTTTATGGTCATGCACGTTTTTCGTGTTTCATTACACTGAACTTGAAGGGTATGATTTGATAAATCGTTCGCTTATTCTCATTATAGGTTTCCTTGGCAATAGAGTTTCTATTCCCCCTGATCGCATTCATTATATTTGTTGGTCTGCATCGGAAATATCCAGCGAAATACATCCCTGAAGGTAAATTAACATTGATATGCAACTATATAGAAATATTACTTAATTTCTAGTATCTGCTTTATTTCACATAATTTCTATATTTAGGGGTGTGTCATTAGAAACTCTTAGGGTAATGAAAAATCCTGCGGGAATCAATAACAGAAAACAAAGTTTTTTCAGCAATTGTTTAGAGAAAAAATAATACACACAGAGGAAATTAAAACATTACAGTGAATTCATCATCAAATTTAAAAAAAAATCAGCACAATACTAACTGAAAAAAAAAAAAATTTGCATAGTCCCCCCTGAGATACTAATGGTCCATCCCTTATGTAAAAAAAATCTAATTTATACCTAATCAACAGGGGTCATAGGGAGTTCATTCTACACTATAATTATACAATATTACCATTGTTGAATAGTAAAATAGGCAATTGACAATTTAGTTTTATGTTATACTGTAAAATGACTAATTTTCACTGGGTTTAAATTTCACTGATTTACTATTTCAGGCATATTCAGTGGGTTTTAAATTCACGGTTTCGTCATTTAGATAATGTGTTCTATGCTAAATTTTACATATTCACTGGGTTTTAATTTAGCGCATTTTCCAGTCAGCGAAATAAGCTAAATTAAAACCCAGTGAATAATTAACCCCTTTACAGTACTTATTTAAACACTCAACTACCAGTGTCAGCATTTATTGAGAACAGATATTCTCTGTTCGGTGTTTGTATATACTTGACCTTATGACAGTCTATGTTTACAGTTACTGTCTGCCCTTGACCCCCATTAAGGTGAATAATGTTATCGTTATCTTTGTATCTTTGACCTTGACCTTACAAGACATGATAGAAGCCATGTAACCACCTGTTGAATTTGTATTGCTGACAAATCTATCCAATTTTGAGTAATTTGGCCAAAAATGAAATAAAAGTGCATATTGCACCATCTAATTTATTATTTGTCTTCACCACAATAAATCCCATTACGCATGATTGCTGTTCAATTTCTGTTTTGAGTGTGTCCAAAACACAACTAACTTAGGAAGCACATGATTTAATTTGTAGTTGTAAAAATTTTCCTGGATTCATAATTCATATTTCTCATATTTTTGCCAATCAAAAGTGAGATATCATGTAGCACAATTAAAAAAAAATTTTTTGCAAACATGAGATGAATAATTAACAAGACATACGGCATGATGACTGAGGCATTTTTATAATACATAATCAGCTGAGTCAAACTTAATACAAACCAAAAGGTATCAAACCCAGCTAATGAACAAGATGTTTCCCGATTGGCTGAATACTGTAAAATACTTTATTTTAGCTGGAATTAATTTCCGCTGATAAGACTTTTTGGGTGTTTTGTATGGATTTTATTTTCAATGTTTTTTGACAAGTTCAATGTAAAATATAGTAAAAGAGGTATATTCGCTGGATTTTATTTTCACCGAATCATTCCTTCAGTGAAAATAGCAGAGATTAAGTATTTTACAGTAGTTAGGTATTGGGCTTAGATAGATAATCAAACACAATCCTCTCGTTTGAATTTAAATCTACATTTTTAAATATTTCAAAAAATCTACAGTTAACAACATAAATGATATGGGTAATCCAAAATCAGTGTATAATTCTTATTCATATTTTTTAATCATAAATAAATAAATAAACTTGAAAATCTTTTTTTTGATGATTTTTAGGGGACAAATTTTACTTTTTGATAGATACATTTGTTGTTTTCCTTTGATAGCTCATTATACAGCACGGCCGCTGCCATCTGCTGGTATTATTCCTTTGCTGCAAGTATTTTGTCCATCTGCAACCAGAGATCCATATGGTTTTCCAGTTTACTCACAGTCAAGGTGAGGGGAATGCCGTTCAATTATGAAGTTCATTTTATCTACTGTACAATACTTTATTTTAGCTGGAATAAATTTTCGCTGAATAGACTTTTTCGGTGTTTTGTATGGATTTTATTTTCAATGTTTTTTGACAAGTTGAATGTAAAATATAGGAAAAAGGTATATTCGCTGGATTTTATTTTCACTGAATCATTCCTTCAGCGAAAATTAATTCCAATTGAAAATAAAGTATTTTACAGTAATATATTATTATACATCTGTCATCGTAATGTCGTAATTTTGTGGTATTTTACAGGGTATTTTCATCCTACCATATTAGGAAATGTGAATTCCAAATATGGAATGATTACACGCATAAGCATCCTCTAATAATAAAAACAAACATGGCTGCCACTAGAGTTTGACCGGATTCAACACAATGAATTTCGCTGATTCTGATGGCATTCCCATGGTGTATCCTTAGAAGGAAAAGATGTATTATAATAATAAGGTTATTACGAGGATACCTTAAAGTATGCACAGTACGCCGGACATTTTTTCATAATAACTTGTCCAAAGAAAATCTAACTTTAAACTGCTTGTCAGATAATAAATGAGTAAAAAGATAAAGAATCTCACAATTCATCTTCTGGTTCGTTCCCCAGAATTACAAATGGTTCACTTCTCACTTGCAAATTAGTCATTTTGCAAATTCTAACAACACTTTATTATACTGATTTAACACAGAGTACCAGAGTTTTTGAGTGTCCTTGACACAGTTGTTCATAAGTATTCAAGTCAGAATATGACTGAATATGAACTTGAAAATCTGTTCATCACGACCACACAGCTACTCAGTGATGTCAACATGAACAGTGTAAAGCGAATACACAATGATATTGAGAAAAATGGTAAGATGATTATAAAAAGGAAAAGTCAATTTTTGGAATGCAGCATGGCATTATGGGATATCATGAGGGAAAACTGTCAATACCAGGAATTGCAGTATGGAATTGTGGGATATCATAAAGCCAAAGTTGTTGATTGTTGGGATTGCAGCACAGCATTCTGGGATATCACAAACTCTGCTCCAAATGATGTAGGAGATGTATGAACACTGCATCGGTGTGATTTGAGTGCATTAATTATGATAATTGATCCCCAACAAAAAAAAAATACATTTTTTTTGTTTACATTTGTTTATATATTCAATTTTATGTACATTTTTGTGTGTGAAAAATGACTTGTGTTTAACAATCTTTTATTCATTCTAGGGAGGTCTCCAGATATCTTTTTAGAAAATATGGGAACATTTATAAACATACTGTCAAGCTCAGAAAAAATTACCAACAATTTGCAACAGCTCATCGAAATCACCCAACAGGTAAATATATAAAATGGATCATTTGTATTATCTTCCAGGAAATTATTTCTTGTACAGAGCTAAATAATTGTCATAATTAATTTTTTGTTTAGAAAGTCTGTGACCAAATCACTATCCATTTGTGTGTTTTCAATTTTCAATCTTGACAACTGCTGTCTTGTTCTTCAATCAGTGATAGATACGATAGTTACTTCTATTTCACCTGGAATTTATTTTCACTGAAATTATAGACAACATATTTCTCCAATCTATACTATACTTCAATTATTCATACAAATTACACAACAAGCATGAAATGCGGTATGCGGTGGTTGCAGCACCCAGGAGCCACGCGCGTTTATTACAATGTTTATTTATTCTCCCTTACATATGTAAATATACGCGAAATTGATGCCAAAGCCCGATCGTGAGTACATCGACACCCAGGAAAAACCATATATAAATCCCGTCAAGGGAAAAAAACATCTGTACCCGACGCAATGTCAGATGTACCTAGGGGTAGACGTCGGGCGTCATCCATATTAAGAATAATATACATTTATAAAAATAAAATAAAAAATACATCGTAAGTTGTTTGCAACCGAGACTGAATACAATAGAATACTTTTCTTACTATATACTCATGAGCACCTGGCTACTTAGCCACTAACCAATCGGAGCAGGTGCAATGGCACCTGAATAATTTACATACGAATAGATAGCAATTAATTGAAACGCAGATAATTTATCATTAATTGGATCATAAACAATTATTTCTGGAGGTGGTTGGATTATGGTATAATAATATTTTATGAGTTATTTTTTGTAGTATATAGTTGCATAATTGCAGCATTAAAGATGCTAATTAAGGTGGTTTTGTACACAGAAAGTATTAAATGTTTAAAGAAAAACAAAGCAAGACTCAAAGGTAGATGTATCTAGTTGAGTTCTTTACAATGAGAAGAAACAACAAGGATGGATTGATAGCATGTGAATGTTGCCAGTTCATGCTAGCCAGTTGAACTACTAGAGAAAAAAAAATATGTGGTTCAAGTATCAACATATGATTGTGATAATTTATTTGCACTGATATGCCACAATCAGATTAAAATAAGAACTTAGTTTTGGGTTTTTTCTCTTTCTTTTTGTGTATTTACCAGTAACTCAATTTTATTTTATTTTATTTTGATCTTATTTGCTGATAGTTAAAGATATTTAAAGTTGTGGTAAAAATTGCAAAAGTCAAATGGTGATAATTACAATAATACAAAATCATAAGTACATAACAAAAAAACATAAAAAATGCCAAATAATAGAAAAAATAGTAAAAATAAAATAAAATATATAAAATTAAAAAAAAACGCACACCATACAATACATCAGATTTAAATCTGATTGTGAAAGGCCACTAAAGTCAATGTTAACCTATAGTCACTAGATTTTATTTTCACTGATTTCATTGAAAGCTATCTATTGGATTGCTGTACCTGAATTCATGTGTACACTACCTGGACATTGTCAAAGTTTTTCTAATTATTTGTTTGTCTTTTCAGTTGCAGCCACTTATTACTTACATTGACAGTCTGGACTTGGCAGTGGAAATTGATTCAAACCTCACTTCAGAAATTATGACAAATGGCCTTGGATTTTTTTATCAACGTATGTCATTGAAAGCAGAAACACAGCACCCAAAGGAGTTAATGCAACTACTTGAAATCTGGTTGCGTTTACGACCTATTCTATGTGGCGTTAATAGTACAATTAACATGGATGCCCTGCGTGAAGGTGACTGGGTTGGAAGTAGAATTGGTTCACGATCGCTTGAATATATGGCCAAAATGGCTGATATGTATATACTTGGCAATCCCAAAATAGTCTTTGCACCAAATACTACGGATGTCTATGATGTCATAAACAAGGTAAAAAAAAAATGACTAAAGTTTATTAATCTTGGCAGGGAAATTATTTAGATATAGTAAATGGCTGTAATTAACTTGCATATATTGAAGTGGTAATTTTGTTTTGCTTTGTTGATTTGTGTGTCTTAATTAATCTGGAAATGGTTTCTAAGGAATCTGAATACTGTTTTTCTAAAATTGTTATTTTATTACTCAATATCACAAAATATATTCACCAAAAATAGAAACTGTAAATTTGTCACAAAATGAATAAGTCTGTACAAGGTCACACCAAATATTGGAGCAGTCTCAAATGTCTATAGTTGAGATTTTTTTTTTAACTCTTTGTAAATATTTGGCACCATCTACAAATTAATTTTGTACAGTGCGCACATGAAATGTTGATAAAAAATGACAAACTTTTCAAAACTAAAAGCAATATATTAAACTGTCTGTATAGGGCAAAATAATGATGAAATCCAGTGATAATTTTACAGAATAAAAAAATATTTGTACTGAATTTTTGGTGGGAAATATCTGGCCCTCAAAGGGTTATTGTTTACAGAGGGGGGGGCAAGGGTTATTTTCATTCAACATAATTGCAATATTTTTTTGTTCATACAACGTAAATTAAAAAAATAAATTCCGTAATTCTGTAATCACAGGCTAGACGTACAACGTAATCAATCAAATATTTTTTTCGTACACTGTAAAAATGTGTCATTTTTCTCGGTACGTACAAGAATTTACATTCAAATAAAAAAAGTCGAAAGAATAATCCAGAGGAAATTACATTTTCATAACTGTAAAACGAACTAGATGACACAATTCACTGCAAAATTCAATTTTCACTGTAAACTGTTAAAAACGTCTTTTTTTCCTTGTAAATTGTAAAAAGCCCTTTTTAATTCCGTAAATCCTGTACCAGCTACCCCGTTGCCCCCTCTT